TACTGAAAACTCCAAACCAAATTCCTGAATTGTCTTTTTCCTTTCAATTTTACTACTGTTATTAGCGATACTTACATTTAATTTTTATACCTTCCTGCTTTATTGATATGTTTCTCTTTGTCTCTAGTAATATTTCTTATGTTAAACTCCAGCTCTCTGGTTATTATTTTGGTATGGTTGGATTTTGTCATTTTTATTTTTATTTATTTGTTTGATTTCAGTTGGACCGTTGTTTCTGTTCTTTGTCCTCCTTTAATTGTGTTCTTGGTATGATGAGTGATTTCCAGTTGCATCCTGGCCATTGTGGGCATTATGCTGTGAGACTCATAATTATATTTTTCCTTTGTTAGTAAACATTCAGTTACCTTATTCAGGTGCAGTGCATGGGCCTGGATGGGGGTGGATGTTCAACTCTGCTAGGCCCTGCTGATACCACTTCAGTAAAAGTGGAGCAGTGGTTCACACTGCCTCTTTCCAGGTGTTTGGGGTGTAAGGTCAGTGCCCTACTGGGCCCTACTGTCACATGGGGTTGGGGACAAAGAAGATGGCCTCCTTTTTGCCTCATTGATGCTGGGTAGAGGTGGGGACTCAGCTCCCCACTGGGCCTCTGTGACTTAATTTTACTAGAAATAGGGTAATGAAGTAATGTGTTTCAAGGTTTTTTGGCAGTAAAATAGCTTGACAAATCTCAATCTTTAGCCATCAGTAAACTGGCTGTGTCTATGACAAATAAGCCGTTCTTGATTAAACCATATATTATTATTATCAAAATTTGAAAGCATCAGAATGAAAAAACATTTTTAGTAGGTAAAATGATTATTTTGAAGAAGTTTATGTGTTTGTAAGAAATGAGCAAAGGAGATAATATGTATAGTTATTGCAGATACTTTTATTTGGGTTTCTTGCTTTTGTTTTTTTATTATTTATTTATTTATTTATTTTTAAAAGATTTTATTGGGGAATCGGGGGAAGGGGAACAGACAAGTTGTTGTTTTGTTCTTCAGTCTAGTTGTGGAGGATGTCGCTTCACTGGCCCATGTTGGTATTATCATTACGCTCTTCCCGGGTGAGGCAGATCAGTCGCCGGCTGAACGGCTGCTCACAGTGACTGCTGGCCGCTCACGCAGGCTGCTGGCTACACACGGTAGCCCATGGCAACCCACTGCCACAGGGGCTGCAGCCTATGCCGTCACCGGCGACTCACGGCAGCCCAGCTCCAGGTTGAGCTGTTGTTCAGCATCTTAGCTGTAGAGGGCAGTGTCACTGGCCCTCATATGTGGGATCCTGGGATCCGAACCAGGGTCCTCTGGCGTCCCAAGCCAGCTCTTAACCAACGCGCCACTCAGCCGGCCCATTGCTTTTGTTTTTTTAATTCAGGCACTGAAACACCTTGGTCTTGCTAAAGGAGGATGCTGTTACATGCAAAACTGAGCTCATGTGTCCTCAGACAGGTGTAGAAGTACTTTGAAAAATCAACCAAAGGTTCCCTGACTGGAAGAATAATTTTGTGCCAATACCATATTGGACCAAAGCCCTCGAACTTGACTTGCGGGTAGTGATGGGGCACTGAAATAAGAGAATAGAGCGAGAGAAGATAGTTGGCATACCCCAAGTATTATTAAATCAGCCTCCCCCTTTTCATCACTCTAGGAATGGAAGGAAGGACATTCTCTATTGCCAGTTAGGGGAATAGATATAGGAATAGTGGGGGGAAAGGTAGTTTATACATATAGGATCAGCAGGACTTGTTTAAGATTTTTGGTTAGGGTAGGAAATAAAAAAGATAGAGGAATCCAAAATTACTCTTCAGTTTTTAGCTTTTGTACCTGAAAGAATTATAGTGCCATTGACAAAAACAGGAAAGCCACCATTCATGGGGTATAGAGGAGATGATGTTTTAGTTTAATTGATTTTGAATTATTGATGCTTAATTAATTTAGTTTATAGTAGTTTCTGTATTTTTCAAGATGCTAAAAACACTTTATAATTTTATAAACCACTTTATCAAGATTTAATTTACATACTATAAAATTTACCCATTATCTGTGTAATTTATGTACTGTAAAATTTATTTTATAATTCAGTGAATTTAGTCTATTTGCAGTCATGACCCTGTTACCACAAACATCACCACCATGTAATTTTAGAACATTTATATCACCCTAAAAAGAAACCTCATCCCTATTCCAGCCTATTCCTACCTCCAGCTCTTGGCAACAACTAATCTACTTTCTGCTTCATGTTCTTTTCTAGACATTTCTTATAAATGAAACCATATAATATGTGTTCTTTAGTGTCTGGATTCTTTCACAGAGCATGTTTTTGAGGCTCACTCATGTTCCTTGCGCTTTTTCAAATGAGTTTCATAGCTAATAGTAGAGGAAACATGCTAAATACACGTGAGTCAAGTGGGTAAATTGTGTGAAACCAGTCAGTGCAGGGAAGTTACATATTGAAAGAGTGGTGATAATGTCATAAAGTGTTTTTATTAATTTTTGTTATTCATCTGTAGAGATTTTGCTTGCTAAATATTTGCTAACATAGAATATCAGTTTATGATAGTTATCACAATTAAAGTCGGGGTGCTAAAGTAGATTTGTTATGAGACATTTGTGGTATTTAAGTTGGAAAAAGAATGAACCCCACTGGTTTCATTTTTATTTTGAGTTGTTAATAAGCTACTTTATAAATTTCATTTTTGTCCAAATCGATATGTGGATTTACCCTATTAGTCTTGGTGATCTTGATCAGAACTAAGTAATCGATGTGAGTGACAGACCTAAGTTATAGATAAGGGAGAAGAGAAAAGGGATAGAAAATGTACATTTTGCCATTAGAAAGTAATTTGTTGATTCTGGTACTGTAGAGATATATTTATACCAGAATACACTTCATTTTATCGCCCGAACTTGATTTGTGTAAAATGTGAAAATTAACTCCTCGTTTTATTGAGACATTTAACTATATAAATAGCAAAGCATAATTTTGCTTACTTCATAAATTCCATTTAAAGTGTCTTGATTTAAAAACCACTCTGGGGCCAGCCAAGTGGTTCAGTTGGTTAAAAGCGTGCTCAAGAGTGCGAGCTCTGAGCAGCAGCGGTTTGAGTCCCGGCCCGAGCTGAGCAGCCGCTGAGCTGCCAACAGGTGGCAGGATGTCTCAGCTTAAAAAAAAAAACAAAAACACCACTCTGGTTAGAATTCAAGTAACTTCACCCTTTTTATACAGTCACATTTGAAATAAAGTAACCCTTGTGCACTGTTGGTGGGATTTCAAATTTGTGTAGCCACTATGGAAAATATAGAGATTCCTCAAAAAAACTAAAAATAAATATACTTACGACCCAGCAATTACACTTCTGAGTAGTCAAAGAAAACAAAAACACTACTTCAAAAAGATATACATACACTCCTATGTTCATTGCAGCATTATTTACAATAGCCAAGATATGGAAGTAACCTAGGTGTCCATCAACAGATGAATGGCCAATAACAAAAGATGACTACAAGTCACGTTTGACTTCTGTAATTACAAGAGGTGCTTAAAGTGGTTACCATCAGCATCCAGACACTTCTGATTACGGTGAACTACTGCTTGAGCAACGTTGACCAAAGTGTCCACTTGTATACATTTTTTTGGCACTCTGGTATATACAGTGGAATACTATGCAGCAATAAAAAGGAATGAAATCTTGCATTTGCAAAATCATGGATGGATCTAGAACAGTGGTTCTCAACCTGTGGGTCGCGACCCTTTTGGGGGTCGAACGACCCTTTCACAGGGGTCGCCGGGTGTGGGCGTATCTGCGCGTATCTGCATGTGGGCCTGGAGACGGGTAGAGGAGCGGTGTCTCGGTTCCTAAGACCATCGAAAATATGTGTTTTCTGATGGTCTTAGGCGACCCCTGTGAAAGGTTGAGAAGCGCTGATCTAGAGGGTATCATACTAAGTGAAATAAGTCAGGAACAGAAAGACAAATACTGTATAATTTCATTTATATGTGGAATATAAAACAAAACAAATGAACAACAACAACAAAAAAAAATCAAAAAGAGACTCAGCAACAGAGACCAAAGGGATGGTTATTACCAGAAAGGGGTTGGGCGAAAACGGTGAAGGGGAATATAGTCAATAATATTGTGATAAGTTTATGAGGTGACAGGTGATTACTAGAGTTAGTGGAGTGATCCCACTGTCAGGTGTAAAAATGTTGAATCACTATATTGTATACCTGAAACTAATATAACCAATATAATACCAACTATAATTAAATTTAAAAATTAACAAAAAATAATCGGGACTAATCTAAGTTAAAACTATGAAGTAGGAAATTTAAGGACAGCCTATCTCTATCTTCTGCTCTTTTTCTTTTTATATAACTTACCCAGGAGCTTATAAAATACTGCCCCATAAAATACCCTTTCCTGAGATTGATGTAATTTCATGAATTGCCTCATATTAAGTAATTAAGGACTTAAAGTATTGCTTTTCTCTGACATCATCATTTGAAAAGAGGTCTACAGAGTGGGTATTGCTTAACTAAAAGGAAGGAATTACTAATGGTGGATTTTTGCATGGTTTGTGGTAGAAGCGGGCCTGGGAAGTAGAAAGCAAGGTATTTATCTCATTCTGCCTTCTATACAAGACTTAATGATATGTTTATATTGGGGAGTTAGTCAAGTACTATTGAAAACAGATTAAATTATTTTAAAGACAGATGTTTCCTTGTAGTTTTTGTAATGAGAGTAAAAGAGAAAAATAAGACACATTTTAGGATTGGACAGTTGGCCTCATTTGGGTTCATTTAATACTTGAGATTTGCATTTATATTGATGGATATAGTATCGTTTTCTTTCTGTGCACAAAGTAAATGTGGGTGATTTTACACATACTCCATTACTTTTACTCTCCTCTTCCATTTAAATCTATCCAAAAGGAGCCCTATCTTTTAACCTTGTGCTTTGTAATGAATGTTAACCTTTTGTTTTTGTTTTCTTCTAGGCTATATTCATCACCAAAGAAAAAACTTACACCAATGCAGAAATCAGTTAGTCCGTTAGTTTGGTGCAGGCAAGTTTTGGATTACCCAAGTCCTGATGTTGAATGTGCTAAAAAGTCTCTTATCCACAAACTTGATCAAACTATGTCAGGTATGCCTATAATTTTACTTGTAAATTCATCTCTTTGCTTTCTTTAATTAAAAATATGTGTGTGTGTGTGTGTGTGTGTGTGTGTGTGTGTGTGTGTGTGTGTGTGTGTGTGTTTATATAAAGTATGTTTTAAGGAAGGCAGTTCTTTGCCTGGTAGTGGTTTCCAAATCCCATTGTGCATGTCATATGAGTTTTTGCCATATGCACATAGCCTTGTTCTATTACTCACTTCACTTTTTTTCAATCTACCCATTTTTATTTAGCTTCATTCTAAAGAATAATATCCAAGAAATAATGGATTTTATGTGATAGATGTTTTTCTAAAGCAAGTTTAAACAAATAACTATTTAAAAAATGTTTGTCTGGTATCATCTAACATTATCTCACCACCCTCGGGGAAACTGGTGTGTTAGAGATACAGGTTAAGAACCAAACAGACCTTGTTCTCATTTGAGCACTTAGTTACTACTGTGTGATTCTGCTTGTTATTTAACCTCTGTGAGCTCAGTTTTCTCACAAGAATAATGAGCCTTGTAAGGTTATTTAAAGGTTTATGTGATAATGTTTATGAAAGAGCCTAGCAGGTTTTTCTGGCTCATAGTAGGTGCTTAGCAGATGTGTTCATTTTCCTTCCTTGTTATATTTTTCTTTTTCTTTTCTTTGAACTTGGCATTTTAGGTTTAAATTGCTTTTATGCTCTTTTTTTAAATAGCATTCACAAAGCTGACAAAATGTGTCTGTGACTATTCATGGCATTTAATGTAGCATGCCTGTGTGGGCAGAAATGTAGGAAATATATTACTGACTCTTTCATGGAATTTCTGCCAGTCTCTTCTAGAAGGCTACTGTTTTCTGGAATACTCATGTAGTAAAGGATTGAGGCACGATTACTAACACTAAATAAGTTTTAGTTTTTTGCTTTGTGTTTAGCTGGCAGCCATGTAATTGGTTATTTGGCTTTATTATGAGACTATGTACTCTCTTATTAGAGTGTAAGCTGAAAATGGTCAGGGGGTGCAAAAGGGAGACGAACAGTGAAACTGGCATCCAGTAAAGGGAAATTTAGTTGGCTGCAAGGAGTAATGGTGATTATATGAAAATACCATCTAGGATGTTACTACAGAGCTTCTGAGTCTGTCTTGACACTAAAATATAATACTTTTCCTCAGTGTAGAGAATCTCTTTTTAAAAAGCAGTAGCCTTTATGTGATTTTTTAAATGTGGTTGTCTGAATATCAAGTGTTTTTAGAGATTGATTTATATTATATTCATAAGAGGTTATTAGAGATTATGTAGAGCTAGTAGACAAGCTAGTATTTCACAATTTGAAATAACTGGAAAATTTCTAACTCATTTCAGTTAGATTGTATTATTTAGACATTTATTAAAAGTACTTTTTGGACCAATTTTCCAGTACTCTATCTCACCTTAGAAATAATGTAAGTATATTTTACAATTTAATTAATTACTCAACTTTGCCCTATTGCATGCAAGCAGCCATTGATAAATACGTAAATGAACAGGCATGGCAGTGTTCCAGTAAAACTATTTACAAAAACAGGTGGTGGGCTGGATTTGGCTCACAGGCTGTAGCTTACTAACCTCCGGTGTAAAACATCATAAGGAGTGGGAACTATTGGCAATTGGTAATTAGCAACTTGGACTTAAGGGAGAAAACCAAAGCTGTTGCACCTCAAAAATAGCAATTTGAATGAGTGGCTTTTTGCTTTATTACAACAAGGGTTTTAAAGATAGTAAGAGTGTGTAAGAAAAGCTGTTACTCTTGAACCAAAAACTAGGTGTAATCAAGTACTGGATCTATTCAACAGTGATTAGATTTTATAGCTGTATGCACAGAGCAATAGCTAGCTATTAATATAATGTATATTTACAGGAAAAATAACTTGGTCATTGCAAGTTTGAACCTTGTAGTCCTAAAACTCGTTTTCCCAAGTTGGAGATTATTTCTTTGTTTTTTTTTTGTTGTTTTTTTAAAGATTTTTATTGGGGAATTGGGGGGATGGGAACAGTGCTGGGGAATTGGGGGGAAGGGGAACAGACAAGTTGCTGTCGTTTTGTTCTTCAGTCTAGTTGTGGAGGACGTTGCTTCACTGGCCCAAGTTGGCACCATCATTGCGCTCTTCCCGGGCGAGGCAGATCAGTCGCCGGCTTCTGGACGGCCACTCACGGCAGCTTGAGAGCCGCTCACGCTGGCTGCTGGCCGCTCACGCTGGCTGCTGGCTACAGACGGTAGCCCATGGCAACCCACTGCCACAGGGGCTGCAGCCCACTGTCGCCAGCGACCCACGGCAGCCCAGCTCCAGGTTGAGCTGTTGTTCAGCATCTTAGCTATAGAGGGCAGTGTCACTGGCCCTCATATGTGGGATCCGAACCGGGGCCCTCTGGCATCCCAAGCGAGTTCTTAACCATCGCACCACTCGGCCGGCCCTGGAGATTATTTCTTAAATGTAGTTTTTGGTAAGGCAAAGAAAGCTTCCTGGGAACTTAGCTATTGTGTTTTAGCGGAACAGCTTCTGCTCATCACTCCCAGCTTCTCTGCAGTGCACTACCACTTGTGCCTAAGATGCTCCTCTCTTGTTCTTTTTGTTGTTGTTGTTGGCTTAGATGCACCTTATTTATTTCATGATATGTGTTATCTTTTTTACCTTTTCTTCCCCTCCCTGCTGTTTTCCTTTCAGTCGTCTCTGAAGGTTCTTTGTCCATCTGTGTGTGTGTGTGGTAAACTTTACATAACATAAAATTTTTCACTTTAACCATTTTTAAATATACAGTTCAGTGGCATTAGCACGTACATACTACTGTGCAACCAGCACTGTCTGTCTCCAGAACTTTTTCATCATCTCAAACTAACATTCCGTACCCATTAAACTTCACATTCCCCCTGCCTCCCACCTGCCCATCTTTTAAGTTTAAGGCACCCCAGGTCTCTCTTTTGCCCCACTTCTCTCTGTTTTGATTATTTCATCCATTCATGTGGTATTCAGTATCATCTCTATTCAAATTAATCTCATTCATTCATGTATATATTCACTTAATATTTATTGAGAGCCAGTTATGTATCAGGCTTTGGGGAAAGGTGGAGGATGCATGATGAGGAAAAACTAACATAATCTAATGCTCATGGAGTTTATCACCTAGTAGAGGAAGCATTACTAGTACAAACCATCTTTTTTTTGTAACTAGTGACATGTAATAAAGGAATGGTAGACAGTGCTTTGAGCTTTGAGAAATAGGAATTTTACCTCAGGAAGTGATGTTTGACCTGAAGCCTAAAGATGCAGGGAAGTTTAAGTGGGCTAAGGGGAAAGGTGAAAGAGGGTGTAGGGTGTCCCAGGCAGAGCACAGCATGTGCACAGGCTCCAGGGAGGCCTGAGGGAGCGTGTGGGAGGGAGCATGGCATCCATGAGGAACTTGAACAAGCCAGGGGCTGGAGAAGAGTAAAGGAGAGAATGCGACAAGGTCAGCAAGATATGTAGGAGCCAGACTGCTCTTCAAGGCCTGTAGACTATGTTAAAGATTTTGGACTTTATTCTAAAAGCAATTGGAAGATATTAAAGGGTTTTTTTCAAGGGTATGGTGTGTATGAGCAGGAAGACGAGACTTGCACTTGGATGAGGTCTTGCTAGCTGTAGTATGGCGAGTAGATTAGAGAGTGCCAAAAAGGATGTAGACTGCTTTTGAGAGGGCTGATGATGGTAGCTGGGTAGCGTGTGTTGGGGGAGAAGGGTGGTAGTGGGGATGAAAAGATTTAGAAGCAAAGGGGAATGAACCAAATATGAGGAAACGAGGGAAAAGAATGTATCAACAGTGATTTCTAAGTTTCCAGCTGTGTAACTGGATGAATGTTGTCATTTTGTGATAGGGATCCCAGGAAGAGAATTCGGTTTTAGCAGGAAAATCATGAGTTTGGATTTGGACATGTTGGCTCTGGAGCACTTTTGCCAGAGACCCACAGGAGAGACTGAATGGGCACTGTATATGGGACTGCAGCTCAGGAAAACTTAGGACTGGAGATATAAATAATGGGGAGTTTTAGGGCATATAGATAATAGCTAATGTCATGGGTATAAATGAAATTTCTTAGGAAAAAAATTATGATATAGAGTGAGAAGGTAAAAAGGCTAAGGACTTGAAATGCTAGTGATTAAGTAACCAAGTAAAAGAGAATAAGCTTCAAAGGAGATTGAAGAGTAATGAGATGTGAAGAAATTAGCAGCCCCATTTCAGCTCACGTTGATATTTCTGAGATCATGCTACCTACTAATTATTTATAAAATAAATAATTCTATTCTGTCTAACTTCCTACACTATCCAACGAAACAAAAACTAAACAGAAAACATATGTTCCTCCCCTCAAACCGCTATTGCACTAATATTTAAACCAGAAACTTCGGTCATCTTATTTTTTTCCCTTTAGTAATCCTTTCCAATTTTTTCTCTCTCCTTTTTTTCCCTTTTTTTATTTGTCACCTACCTAGTTCAATTTAATCTATTCAACATAAAATTTTCCATCAAATTTTTTTTCCTACACTGATTGGATCCTGTCACTCTTGCTCAGAAACCACTGATGACATTATCACTGCTACTGAATTATAGTTCAGGCTCCCGAGCATGGTGCCCAGACCTCTCGTGACCTGGCCCAGCGGGTTTTTCCTGTTTTGTCCCTCACTACGTGCTTTACCTTTCTAGATTACATGCTCGTATCCCCTGAACATACTGTGCATTTTCAACACTGCTTTTGTGTGTGTTATAAACACAGACTAAAGCACATACTTGCCCTACTTTTAGTGGCTTATCAAATTATTACTCAGCCTCTTGAGACTGCTCCAGTGCCTCTCCTTCCAAAAAGCCTTACCTAGTTTCTCTCAATTGTAATGAATGGTTCCTATCTCATCATTTCCACAAACCTTTGAATCTTTATGATAGTACTCATTTCATTTGACCTGGAAATCATTGTTTTTTCTGCCTACACTACTTGGTTATAAGCCTCTTAAGAAAAAGCACCATGTCACATTTGTCTGTATATTCTACACAGTGCTTTGCCGATGGTCATAAATATTGAATAAACTGGATTTTAGAATAGGGTGGAAGAAATACTGTTTTAATTATTTTTTTTCCTTGTATATAATTGTACTTGATAGCCCTATTTTGTACTGTTTCTATAATTTTATATGCATAGCATAAATATCTTTCCCTTTTTTTGGCAGAAGTATTCTTCTTGAGCCAGAAAACTTGGGGGGGGGGGCGGGGAGAGCTTTTCTCTTTTTTTTTTTTAAAGATTTTACTGGGGAGACGAACAGTGTTGGGGAATTGGGGAAGGGGAACATTGTGTTTCTCCAGGACCCATCAGCTCCAAGTCAGTTGTTGTTCTTCAGTCTTAGTTGTGGAGGGCGCAAGCTCAGCTCCAAATGCAGTAGCTGCTTTAAATCTAGTTGCTCATGGCTGCTCAGCTCAAGGTTCCATGTTCAATCTTAGTTGCGGGGGGTGGGAGGGGTACAGCCCACCATCCCATGCAGGATTTGAACCGGCAACCTTGTTGTTAAGAGCACATGCTCTCACCAGGTCAGTGGCAGCTCCGCTTGGGCGCAGCTCACTGGCCCATGTGGGAATTGAACCAGCGACCCTGTTGCTCAGAGCTCAGGCTCTAACCAACTGAGTCACTCGGCTGGCCTGCTTTTCTCTTTTTAAAAAGAGAATTCTCACATATTTTCACCTTAATCTAGCCCAAATAGTCAATATTGCTTTTTTTACCCCCAAAATTCAAACTTTGTAAAGGCTATTTTAAAATATCATTTCACAGCTTTTTTAAGCGATACAGTTTGTTTAGGAAAATGAGAAAATACAGATATGCTTTTAGATTTATTTTTAAAAGCCATTTGGGATTGATACAGTTGTAATAAACTTTCCAATAAGATAGAAGTAAATTCATTTAATGGCGAACAATTTGTTGAGATATTCTCCTTATGATATTATTTTTGTTGTTTGGTGTGGCTATATTTTACTTGCATAGCACAATTTAAAATAATGAGAATATTTTGTTGGAATTATTAATAGGATGTTTTTCTCCCACTACTATAAGAATGTTTCTATATTGAAATTAAGATAATAATGACTTAATGAATTTCTTAATAGGAAAAATTTTGCAATAAAATGTTGTTATTCCAGTTATTGAATTTGATTTCCCCCTTTCTCGTTACTGCAGCTCTCAAGAGGCAGAATTTATATAATAATCCTTTCAACTCCATGAGTTACACAAGTCCTTACAGTCCAAATACAAGTAGCCCATACAGCAGTGGTTTCAATTCTCCATCCTCAACCCCAGTGCGACCTCCTATAGTCAAACAGCTAATACTTCCTGGAAATTCAGGTAAGGAAAAAAATGAAATGGAGTGATTAAAGAATGGTTTTTAGCTTACTGCCCTACCTCAGAAAATACTGTATTTATCAGTAGTTCACGTTCTTTTATTTATGAAACTTTTAACTGGTTAGAGGAAATATCATTGAGGAGCTAGTTGGCATCAGGTCCTATATACTAGGCACCAGGGATACAGATAAGCCAGTATACATCCATGAAGTTTTCTTTAGCATATTCTTAAAAGTTTTTTAATCTGGCTTCATTAAATAGGGTCCCATGCTTGATTATTTTAACCAATAGATGCTTATTGAATAACCTGCTTGGGTTGTATAAGCTACAGAGTTAAAAATTTTTTATAGGAATTTAATAAGCTTTGATAATTGCATTTAAAACATAGTATAAGGTTATATGTAAATGTACTGAATGAGTGTTTGGAGCCCTACATGACACGGGAGGGACAGACTGCTGTCAACTGGGAAAAGAACGTTCTGCTGTGGTTCCGTGACTGTGATATCACTGTAGCTTACTGTTCTTTATTAATCGCTCATTCCGTTACTCATTCTGCTGCGATTGTCATGGCTAATTATTACAACTTCCTTAAAAATTATTGTTAACCAGCTAATATTTTTTACCTGAGTGCTCCCTAGTCCAATGACTTTATTGACCATGCTCTTTGCTCTGTACATAGGTTGTTACTTGCTACTTATTTCACCCATGATTATCATACTAAAAAGTTTCATCTGCTATCTTTGTTTAATATAAAGGATTTTATTCAGGCACTACTTGAGTCTGACTTTCTAGTCCTCTTCTTGATAATATAAACATTAACTATTTTGTATTCTTCTTGCTCTTCTTATGTGCCTTTCATGTTGGAGCTAACTCTTACAGTGAAGAATTCTGGAAAACAAGCGTTTCAAATAAATCCATATTAGAAATAGTAGTGACAGTGGTGGGGTTTTATTCTCCACTGGAAGGTGATGATGATCTGATGAAAGCATTTTCTTAGAAACAAGTTAGACTCTTGGATATACCGAGGGTGCCAAAAAATGTATACATATAACTTGTATTTATGTTTTGTTATCGGTATATATTGAGTATTACACTTTTAATGAAGTTTTTTCCTTTCTTAAAAGGTGTATACATTTTTTGGCATCCTGTGTATATATTTTTTATTTCCCTGACCTGTTTTCTGTCCTCTTTTTGGTTGAGAGCTATAAAAGACCTTTCTTATCTAGTCATTTTCTTCATCCCATCTTTATACTTCACTACTAAATTTCAGAGAACTTCTTGGATCATAGTTTTGCAAAGGAATTTTGTAAACATGACATAATGTAGGAGAAATGAGCTAGCGTTCTTTTTTTGGTTTGTTTATAAATTTCTAAGGAATCTTGATTTTTCTCAAATTATAGCTTTCTGGTTTAGGAGAAATAGATGCTGTTATTCAGGAGAAAAGATGATGGTGTTTGCTAATGACTGAATTTTGGAGGAGAAAACCTTACATCATAAATTCATCTCTTTGTAGAGCAGTTTCATTGGCTATCTTGTAAAAGTATGTATTATTGAACACTAACTGCTTGCCAGGAACTCTGTTGAAAGTTTAACTGTTTCATAAGATGATAAGTTACAGTTAAGTGAAACTGAGTTTTGTGTTTGTGCCATGATATATGAAGGAGTCTCTATAGCCCTCTTTATTCTTTTTTTTTTTTT